TCTACGATATCCTCTACACTTCTATTATCTAGCCTTGATTGTGAAGTTGGATTAAGTTAGATTTGGTTATTCTCACACATGTTTCCTCGAGTTCGATATAAAACTGGGTACTCCCGGTGAAGTGCTACATCAGAATAATATCTGTGCGATTACAGATTATTCTGTATGCATTAATATATACCAACGACAATGATGTCAGCGGTAGTGTAGAAGTCATCATTCAGGCTGCGAAGCATGTTGAGGATGAGATCCGACTACTAGATGGGGTGGTCGACATCTCGTAGAGCGTCGACGGTCATCTTCTGGTGCGCATAGTAGTCGGTGATGGACGACGTGCCTTGCGTGATGCTGTGGAATTCGTTGTGCAGGTAGATCACACGGGAGGCCTGATTTGCGGTGAAGTGGCTGGCAATGTAGAGCTCATAGGCGGATTGCTCCGGCTCGACGGAGACATCTAGAACGTTGTTGGCGATGGAGGTGAAGAGCCATGTCTGCACCATGTGGTCCTGTTGTGCCCATAGTAGATCGTCCGGGTGAACGAGGGGGCCATCGATGTGGTCTAGGATCTTGAACTTGTCGTAGGTGACCTTGAAGTAGATGGACCATCAAGCATAGGCACTGTCCTTGAAGCTAAGGGTGACCAATCCATGACACTTAATGTTGGCCATGGAGAGGGCGGCGGCGACCGAGGTGGAGAGAGCAGCGGTGATGGTGTGACCAGACATGTTGCTGGTTGTGCTCTCGCTTGTGGAACATGAGGAGCTAGATGTGGCAGTCGGCTCGATTGTCATAGTGAGAAACGACGGCGACCCTGGGAGGAGGTGGGGGAGGCCTAGGATTGGAAACCAATGAATGATACCATGTAAGAGATTGGCAAATCAGTTTCATTATATATATGGTGTACATGTTACAATGAGAAAGAATCCCAAAATACAAGGAAACATACAATCCTAATATTCAAGGAAATATGCAATCCTGATATGCAAAGGAACATACAAATTACATATGTATTTTTGTTAACATATATAGTTATTACTTTACGCGTGAATGGAAAGGAAGGGTGCACTAACAAGGAAGGCCCGTGCGGCCACTTATCTCTCTCCCGTGATAAGAGGATATAAGAATATTTTTCTTTTTTAGTTAATTATTTAATTACTTATTAATTTAAAAAATCTAAAAAGTTAATGGCTAAGATCTATTTAAAGTATTACCTTCTAACAACTAAAGGGTACCATAGCATTGTCCGTGAGCACGGAGTGGATCTCTTGCACTTGGGGGTGAGCCGGTGTGACATGCGTCAAGGGAAGCATTGCTTTGTTCGGTGTCCATCTCTACTATAATGAACCAATCAACATTATACTAGATCCCCTAGAAAAACGTCCCTCCCTGAGAGTCTCTAACCATGGTGCACCCAGAAAAATGCACACAGGATTTTATCTCCATTAAAATCAAGGGCTAATAAAAACACCCAAACCAAATCCGATGGTCGTCGTTTGATGTTTGATGCCAGGATTCAAATGCAACCACACCCCAAGCGCCCTCCGCCTCATCACGGGAGGCTCGTCCCCGCGCCACGCCACCCTCGCATGCTGAAAGCTCTAGTTTGATTTTGGTGAATTGATGAAACCCTAAGTGCTAACCCTTTGCTCTAAGTGAATTTGAGATAGGGTAGCACATTCCAAGTGATGGAGAAAATGGTGAAGATCATGATGATGGTGGAAGGCCATGGTGATGATCAAGTGATCGGGTTTATGATAGATAACCGTACTATAAAGAGGGAAAATCTTTAATTGCAATGGTTATCTAGTGCCACTAAGTGTGAGTCTCATTTGCATATATATTACGCTTAGTGACGTGGTGAGATGCATGAGAAATCCTAGGAAAATTCTTTGTGAAAAGCTATCTCTAGTGCTAAAATTAGTTTGGTGACTTTGGGAAGAGATAGCACTTGTTTTGGGCATGTTGAGTAGTCTAGACAAGAATTTTCAAGACAACTCACTTGAAATTCCAGGTAGGGGCTCTCTGTTGGGTTGCCGTATTTAACTGGAATTTTAGTTGGCCCAAGCTAGAATTTTCAGTGTGGGAGGCCAACGGTCGGGAAGAGCGTCCGCCCTAGAATTTCCAGGCCACGCGGGATGGAATTTCCAGTGCAGGAGTCCTCCACTCCAACGGTCGAGAGGAGCGTTCGCCCTAGAATTTCTAGGCCGCGCCGGCTAGAATTTCCAGTGCGGGAACGGAGCACCTACACAACAATGGTCAGTTGGTTGGCTGGCTAGGGATAAAGTTGGTTGCCTCCCCTTCCCTTTTTCCTCCTCCCAACCATTCCCCATTCTTGCTCCTTTTGAAACCCTAAGGAAGAACAAGCTCTCTCCTCTCTCAACTCTCTCACTCCCAAGGATTTGTGCTACATTTAAGTGAGAGATCGAGCTCTAGTGTTGATCTTGAGAGCTTCAAGAGCATCTCCTCCCTTTCCTCTCCTCTCCAAGCTTAGTACTCATTCATGAGAGGATTTGGGGGAAACCCTAGTGTGTGCATTTGAGGTTGCATATTTGGTGGCACTAGATGGTGATTGTGACTATGGATTTCTTATTACTCTTGGCGATTGCCGTCACCTAGACGGTTGGTGATTTGTTGATTGGTGAGAGGATTTTGTGATTGTGTCCGCCCCCAATCAAGATGCTTGTGAGGGGTTCTTGTGCCTTTCCCGTGAGAGATCACCTAAGGCAACTCTAGTGGATTGCGTGTAGCTTGTGGATACCTATCTTTTTGTTGGTTGTGCGGCACCCAGTTGCAGGTTAGACATGTGATGCCTATTAGCACGTGAACCTCCAAGTGGGTGCATCTCTACAACGGGGACTAGCTTGCCGGTGAGCAAGTGAATCTCGGTGAAAAATCATTGTGTCATCTTGTCTCCGAGGATTTCATTGATATTGATTGATTGTCACTTGCCACGACGGTATATCTATCTCACTCTCTCTTGTATTTACATTTCTAGTGTAGCTAAGCTCTTTAGTGTAATTAGTTTTGAGTGCTAGCTTTTGTCTTGTTAGTTTGGTTAGTGAGGCTCTTTAGTTAGTCTTTAAGAGCTCACTAACTTAAAAAATAGTGACTTAGCAATTGTGTAAAATAGAGATCATAGCTACTAGAATTGTCGATATGCGGCTTGCTTTTTAGTAGACTAGCGCAACACTTGCTTCGCCATTTAATTGTCTAACCTATTGGCTTAAATGTTGTTGTAGAAATTTTTATAGGCTATTCATGCCATTTAGGACTTTCACACGCCCTCCGCCACCGTAGTCGCTCGGTCGCCAAGGATCGAATCCCACCCCCGACGCTTCATGAATCTCCCATTTTTTCTACCGCTTGGTAAGCTTCTCCTTCCTCTCCCTCGCTCCCAAAAATCCGTTGGAAATGGTGGGATGTGCAAAACAAAGTGAATGCAGGAGAGCCTATGCCTACGTGCCAAAAAAAGGCGCTGGTTGTTGTATCTATGGTGGCCGACATTCAGGAGATGATCACTCGACAAAGACCACCGATTGTCACTCTGCAGCCAAGATGGTGGCAACCTGCTAGGGGATGTCTCAAAATTAATTTTGATGGTGCTTTCGTGCAGGAAACAAATGTTGGGGCTTGGGGTTTCGTTGTGCGTGACCACGAAGGGCAACCGGTCCTTCCTGGTGCCGGAAATCTGGTGATGATCCATAATGCTCTCTTGGCAGAGCTTATGCATGCAAATATGCGCCGGAAGCTGCAGCTTGCCTTGGCATATCTCGGATTGTATTGGAGACAGACTCAAGCCAACTGAAAGAAGCCTTGTCATCTTCATCTATGGACCTAGCGGTTGGTGGAGGACTTTTGAGAGATCTCTAGGATAGTTTTCTTGATGATTTTAGTTGTGACTCCATATGTAATATTTCAAGAGTCTGCAACTCTCTTGGTCATAACATTGCTAGGAGAGGTTTGGGTTGGGACCCGGGTCAGTCCGAGGTATGGACAGATCCCATCCCTGAATTTGTAATCAGTTTGTGTGCTCGCGAATTTGCTGAGCATGTGTCGATCAATGAAAGGCCTTAGAACATCTCTAAGAGTATCTAATTTTTTCCTCAAAAAATATATAGTTTTGTAACACTTTAAAAGATATTGGTAGAAAAAAAGACCATCTCTAAGAGTTTCTAATAATCCGCTAAACAATTTTACATCAAGAATCATATACTATTTCTAAATTATCGTAACTACTTTTATATATTTCTCTCTCATACATTTACATCAGGAACCTTTTCCTACTTGTTAGACCCTGTTTGCTTGTCTTATGAGCTGTACTATTTCAGCGAAGGAACAGTATTTTTCTCTCATAATAAATCAGCGAACAGTATTTTCAACCATGCCTTTTCAGCGAAGCGAACTGGACCTTATTCTTTTTCACACTCTCCTTATTCTTTTTCACACTCTTATACTTTGGAGATTGACCGTACACATCATATCCGCACGTCCGCTAGTACGTCTAAAGTTACGTGGAACGAGCGAGGATTTCCCAAGTACAGAATGATTAGTACTTGGAGAGGTGTTTTTTGTTATTTTGTTAAAAACTAAGGAATAGAAGGAAGACGGGCTCAAGTTAAGTATAAAAAAAATCCGTTGCACCCCGCAATCCCCAACCCCGCGCCGCCGCCGATCCCGCCAGGATAAGGCCCTCGCGCCCGATCCGCCGCCGCTCTGGCCTCCCCGCTCCCCAAACCCTTGGTAGGTACGGACTCCACCCTTGGTAGGCGCCGGCTGAGAACTGGCCGCCAGAACCTCTGCTGGCCACGCGATTAAGGAGATGGTGAGGATCGCGGGTGCACGGGGATGCTCACCGAGTAGCTAGAGTGAGCGTGGGAGGAGCAGAGGTGCCGCGCGCGCGGCAATGGTGGCGGCGACGGGAGCTGCTACTGGCACCGAGAGGCAGGGAGGGGGCGTGATTTAAGGAGAAGCAGAGGGGTGAGGAGGTGCAGGGGCCGGTGATGCAGAGGGAGACGCAGCGGCGGGGGCCCTGCACCGAGCGGCCGAACCGCCAGCGGCGCGCGGCGCGGCCGGGCGGAGGCGCCGTCGCCGGAGGCGGGGAAGATGCGACGCCGCAGATCGCCGGGGGATCGGATGAGGTGGGGGACGGCGCGGTGCCGCCGTCGGCCGGGCGCGATCCCGAGCGCAGGCGCGGCGGGATTGGCGCAGCGTCCGGAGGTACAAGATACGCGAGGCTGGACAGTTACTCCGGCGTGCGGTCGGGCCACAACTCCATGAGTGAACGGATAAGGTAAGGTAAGAAAAGATGATGCTTCGGGCAGGGAGGGAATGAGGAGGGGGAGGGCTGGTGGGCACCGTCATGGGGACGCTGCGGAGTCGCTGGTGATGTGCAGCGCCGGCGCCATGGGTGTCGACGATGAGGACAGCGACGAGGAGCGGATCGAGATTGGGCGGCCTACGGACGTGCGGCACATCTCGCACTCACCTTCGCCCGTTTCGGCGGCTTCCTCGGCCTCCCCGCCGACCTCGAACCAAACGTGCCGCGGCGCACACCCAGTGCCAGGTGAGCTCGCCAATGCCGTGCTGTGCAAGTGCGAATGATTAAGCGTTGATTACCTTTTTTTGTCTCTTGGATTTTTCCCTTCAGCTGTAGTTTTGTGTGCCTTCATTTTAAGACTGCTTCCGTGACGGAATTGTAGCTTTCCGATGCCTTCTTGCATCTTCTTCCAGCAGGAGCCTGCAGCCGTCAATTTTTGACTGAAAATTTAGTTTGTTTGCATACATGTATATGACCTGGACTTTATGGCAATCATGATCCAAACGTTAGTGAACACCGTCCCATCTAGATTACTACCATTAGTCCATGATGACTTCAATTCATCAGCAATGGCGGTCGAACATGATTTCCTTGTATCCCAACTGACTAAATAGAAGGCTCGGACTGAGTATCACAGTCCATCATAATTTGTTTTTTTTTTGCTTGCTAGCCTCGCCGCAGATTTTACGGGGGAAATGCTTGTCTCGGTTTATCCCTTACTCAGACCCCACTCATGTGGGAGCCTCCGGCACTGGGTTTGCCCCCCTTTTTTTTTTTTTTTGCTTGCTATACGTTCCAAGTCTTTGTCCAAGTTTTTGGAAATTGAATTTTTTTTCTTGCAGTATGATGGATAACCAAGGACAAGCCGGTGTTATTCTGTGACTTCAATTTGATTATTATGCAGCCTGCTGTTGGCATAGTCGGTGTCTGATCAAGCGTAATGGGAGGAGCTCTAAATGATTAATAGAATTTCTTCTTCTCAAATTCAGACAGTGGAATGATCCATATATATTGAAGGTGCCATTTACTGTTTTGTGTTTACCTGAAAATAGTTCATCTAGATGCTGTCCTTGTTTTTCTATGTACTGATAGATATATTATTTGTAGCTGAACAACAATTTGGAAGCTGGATGCTAGAGGGAATTCAAAGCTGTCTGTGAGGGGGAAGAAATAAGCAGCTCTTCGTTTCGGTTGGAACAAATGATAATAACATTCTAAAATTACAGCCTTCATCAGTAGTATTGCAAGAGGTTGATTGCTTTTCCGGATTCTTGTTCTAAACTACTCCTATATTTGCCTATTTCAGTGGCAGGGCATGTTAAGTGATACATCAAATGTTGAATCGGGATCTGATGTTGATGATTTTGGTCCATCATTTCTTTAGAAAGTTTGGGACTATTGTTGCTTGACTCCAGTTCATGAGGAAGTAAGTTTATCCATTTGCCTTTTTTCTTACAGTTGGATCTGATTTTCCTGTGGTACAGTTGGATCTATAGCCAGCTTTGTTCAGGTACCCCTGAATTGTGGTTGGCATCATCTTTCTATTTTTCTACATTTCTTAGTTTCATGAAGCATATAAACACAAGTTCGTTGATTTCTTACCTCCACTTTCTGCACTAGAGGACCCACTTGTCTCCATTGAGCAGCCCTTGACTGGGAGCACTCAGAAAAAATGACCACTCTCGAGCATGGTGCAGGTCCTGGGAAGGTCCGCCTTCCACCACACGGCGCTCACCTCCTCTGGCGACCTCTGCCATCTCAGCGGTGAGGTGAGATAACGATTTGAGAGATTTATCTCCCTTTGTTCGCTCTCCTGTTGCAATTTCAATCTTGGAAATGTAATGAGCATGTCCAATTTCGCCTTCAGATATTCCTCTGAATCTAATCCGTGTCAATTGTGGTGCAGTGGAGATGCGACATGGCCTTAGCTGGCTACTGGTGAATGTGTCAATTGTGGTGCAGTGGAGATGCGACATGGCCTTAGCTGGTACTGGTGAATATTCAGATGGATATATCGGCAGAGACGATAATTTTGGTGTTGCTGGTGTTGATCCAAAGAGGAGACATGAGCTTATCAAGGCAGTTTAACTCTCAGCACCTGTAAAAATTTCATGGATATGTGCCCATTCTTTTCATGGAGCAGCGTGCTTGCCAGTTTTCAGATACAAGGTTTAGAAAACTGCACTTTAAATTTGAATAGAATTAACTTTGAATTTAATGTAGCCCGTAGCGTTTGGGACGGTCAAATATATTAGTGCTACTAGGGGACTAGGGTGAACATAGTGGCTCTATTTGGCTTGCTGAATCTTGGCTGAAATTGACTAAAAAACACTGTTCTGGTTGAATTGTTGTGAGAGAAAAACACTGTTCCAGCTGAAAAAACAAGCCGAATAAGCCGGATATGGGGTAAGCCGAACGGGGGCAGTATGTCGAGGCGTTTGTGACAAGTAACGGTGGGGTGCATTGATGCGGAGACGAAAAAGGTCAGGAGCAGATGAGAAATGCGATGGGCCGCTCGGTAATCTCCCTTTTTTATAACTATACCCAGCATGTTGTTGCGAGGATTTTATAGTGTTAAGAGAACTTGATGTGATAAATAGTGAAATCTTAAAAAGAAAATACGCACACGAAGATATAAATTTATTGGGAGAGGAATAGAAGGGAAACAATGCAACACTGCAATCCGAAAGGGCTATTAATTACAGGAGAGAAATTGGAATTTGGAAGAGGAGCAGCACCAGAAAGAAAGCACGGATGTTTGAATCATTTATACAAACTGTAAAAAAAATTCTTTTCATTGAGCGCACAAATCTTGTAAAGTCAGACATTACAAATCTCTTGTTTGATCGGCAGCGTAGACAGTTTTATCCATGCGATAATCCATATATGCCTTCATATACATAATTACCTTTTATTACATTCATGAGTGGCATACTTTTTCTAAAATAATAATAATCCTATGATAATTTTATTTTATTAGTGAGATATTTATCAAGTACAGTAATTAGCGTGCATATATGAAAATAAAGTACTGCCTACGAATTAGGCATAATGCAAATTTAGGGCGTTGTTCGTTTTTCTTGTAATCCGTTTTTTTACCTGGTTTTTTCAGCTGAACAGTGTTTTTCTCTCGCAACAAATCAGTTGGAACGGTGTTTTGATTTTTTTTTTCAGCAAAGCGAACGGGATCTAGATCATAGAATCTAGGAGCTGTGGGACCCACCTGTCACAATCTCATGGATGCACCACGCTTCCATTTGAGCATCCTTATCCTCTAAATTGTATAAAAATAGAAAAGAAAAATCTCATTCCCACGGTCAAAGACACAGCATGAGGCTGAGCAGGCTGCACGGGGAGGCGGCGAGGAGGGCGTCAGCGACGGCCTGCAGGAGGGCTGCGCGCGACGGCCGGTGTGGGGAGGTAGCAGGCGGACTGCGGACACCAGGTGGACAAAGCAAGCACGTCCGAGTCCGAGCACCTCGATGCGCCTCTGTTGTGGCCATCTCCGAGCACGGCGCGAGGACAGGGCGCGGCATCGTGCGCCATTTTCGCGTGGGTGGTGACCTTCCGGCGGGCTTTTTCTGAGGCCGTGCAAGCGGCAACCTCCACACTGGCAGTAGCACTGGCGGCGGCGCGCGGGGGGTGAGGAACTGAGTGGAAGCTAGAAGCGAGCAGAGGTAGAGTCGCCGGTCGCGAGATGCGATGGGGAGGGTTGGACAGAGAACGATCCATTTTATAGGGGAAGGGTAAGGCGCTTGAAATCACGTCGTGTGATGGCCAGTGGGGGAGCCCAGAAGGCACGAATGCACGATCCCTGGGAAGCGGAAGCAAGCAATGTATATAGGTGATTGTGCGACGGTTTTTTTGGCGTGGGTTGATGCTGACGTGGCTTCAGGAGAAGCCATGAAAATATGCTACTGAGGTTCTTCTATTTAGGTATAGTAAGAGATAGGAGATGAGATATATGAGATTTCTTACAAGTTATGTCACCATGTGGACGCATCAAGCACAATGACAAAAACCTAAAGTAGGCCCCTATTTTACGGGCATCGCTAAGACATGTGGAAGGATTTATGTTATTTTTAATCCTCCTATATGCATCTGAAGCCTATCCAATGGTTACTGTCTGACTATTGTAAACACTAAACTTTTAGTGATCTTTAAAGTAACATCTCCCTTTGCATTTTACAGAAATCCTATGTTCTTACCGAGGTTCCCCGTTTTCATGGCCCACAAAAGTACAGTAAAAGGGACCAAATTAAAGAATCAACCAACAATGATACACACATACGCACAATATGATCTGAGTACATATTGACAAGAAGAGATGAATCCCAAATCCCAATGGACAACAAACGCATGCACGATAAATTTCAGCATCCACGTCCCATATACACCTTACCGGCCAGTTGGGTGAACGAGCTGCGAGAACACCACACTGTTGGCAATGTCCTCCTCGTCCATGTCCTCGCTGATTAGCTCGAGCGCTGCAGCTGAGGCAGCCATGCTGTCCGCCATAGACACAGTACTACTGTTGCTCATGCTTCCTCCGCCCTCTGGCTTCCCACCATTCTCAAAGGTGTCCTGCATCTGCAATGCAAATTCAAGATTCCATAGCACGTCGCCCATCGAAGGTCGGTCTACTCCATGGTCAGCCAGGCACTTCTCTGCCGTCTCGGCATACTTCTTTAGGCAGTCTGGTGCTATCTTGCCCTTCAGTAGCGGATCGATTATATCTTGTAGTGTTCCCTTCCTTTGGCAGCTCAAGGCATGGTCAGCAAGGCTAACCTGCTCCCTTGGTAGGCTCGGGTTCAGTGCAGGCCGTGCGCAGAGCACCTCAAAGAGCACCACACCGTACGAGTAGACGTCAGACTTCTCTGTGAGTTGTTGCCGCCTGAAGTACTCTGGGTCGAGATATCCAAAGCTGCCCTTCACCATGGTGCTAACGTGCGTTTGGTTCATGGCCGTCGGGCCAGTCTTGGATAAACCAAAGTCGGAAACCTTGGCCACCCAGTTGTCATCGACCAGAATGTTGGTCGTCTTGACGTCACGGTGGATGATGGTGTACTTGGCGCCAGTGTGGAGATAGTGCAGGCCTCGTGCGGCTCCGATGGTGATCTCAAGGCGTTGCCGCCACGATAGTGCTGGCTTTCCACTCTTGTACAGATGCTCCCGTAGCGTGCCATGTGCCATGTAGTCATACACAAGGATCATCTCGCCGTCATCCTCGCAGCAGCCGATAAGCGACACAAGGTGCTTGTGCCGAAGCTTGGAGAGCATCTCAATCTCAGTTTGGAATTCCAAAACACCCTGCTCAGATGATGGATTGCTCCGCTTGATCGCCACCTTGGTGTCACCATCAACGATGCCCCTGTACACCTTGCCAAACCCGCCCACACCAATCACTAGTGACTCATCAAAGTTCTTCGTTGCTGCCTTAATCTCCTGGAACGAGAAGTGCCGACACATGGCGGTGATGTTTGGGTTGAGTGCCGCGCTCTTGCCGCCAGACGATTTGCTGGCGTTTGTATGTGAGTTGCCACCATACACTGGCAGCCATCCTGAGGAATGTGACACGCTGTTACCTAGCACCCGCCTCTTCTTTGAATGATAAGCCACAACACATATGGCTGCTACTATCCCAAAGGCCGCTGCACCGCCAGCTGCACCGCCAATCACCATGGCCCTGAGGTTGCTTGGCTTGGCTTTGAATTTTCCGGTTGTCACATCCAGCTCTGCTTCCTCCAGCATTCTGGATGGATCAGGATTTGGACCAGCAAGGTTGCCAGAGCTATCACTCATCTTGAATATCTCGAGACCATTCAGGACAGCATCGTAGAACTCTGGCTTCATTGACACGGAAGGGTGCAGCGCGATCCATAGGATCTTATCACCTGGACTGTCAGGCATGAACGTCGCGTAGTCCTTGTACACGGGCACATCCTTCTCTGATGTCCACCCAATGACATCGGCATCTGCCTGTGCTGTCTTGTTGTTGATGTAGATGTCAAACGCCCGTTGATTCACCTTGGTAAGCAACAACTCACAAAAGTGGAGCCGAACGATGTATGTGAAGTTACTATCCACCTCAAACACCCATGTCAGATTGTAGTTCTGATTCACCTTTGGGTTAGGGCCCATTGACCTGCTGCTGAGGTAGAGGCTCGTCGGTGCTGCATACTCTGCCTCAGGGCTCGAGAACTTTATCTGGACCTTGTCATCAGCTTTATATGTCACACCAACAGCAGCTCCATAGAGGTATGGCGTGTCATCATACCAATCTCGTGATAGCCCAGAGTCGTTTGTCGGTGCAATGTAAGAACCACCGACATTCAACCTGTACATCGTCTGTAAGCTGCTAGCGGCGGTGTCCACGGTCTGGTCACTCAAGCCAACCATCGTGGCCGGGTCAGCAAAGATGTCGGGCATGGAGATGATCTCGATGCCATTGACAAAGGCATATGATGCGTTGTTCATCGCGGTTGGTGTGAATGTGAGCGACAGCGTGCCATCGGTCATCGGTGGCAGTGTGAACTCCCTGATGATGTATGCCTGGCTAAGTGCCTTGGCAGTGATGTATACGCTGAAGTTGCGGAGCAGCGTGATTCCGGTGGACGTAGAGACTGAGAAGAAGAATTGTTCTGCCGGGACGCCATGGTAGGCCGCTGGGTAGAAGTGGAGGCGCAGCCAGTGCCTATCCTTGCCAATGGAAAAGTTATACACGGCTTCCTTGGTGAACACCCGTGCTGACATGTACGGGACAGGTGAGGGAAGCGATGGATCCTGGACATCCGCATTGGCCATGATGGATGACTTCCCGCCATCAATGAGCCAGTTACCGCCTTGGTCAGTCACCCATTTCCTCCCATCTGCGTCCTGGCCCTCCTTCGCTGAACCGCAATCCACCAATATGGACTCCGGCGGCATGTACTTCGCCGCGGAAGCCAAAATGACTGCATTGATCGCAATGATGACCGCGAGAAGGGCGTCGTGGCGGCAGGCTGCCATGTTCGCCTCACGGACCAGTCAGGGCAGTTTAATTCGCCGGTGCAGAGGTGTAGAGAAGGGTGTTTGGTTAGGCCATGCGG